ATAAAGTTTTTGTAAATAGGGAAGGGTGGAGGGCATGAAGGGAGGGCTAGGAATGGGGAAAAAATAAGAACCAAGATGCATCATGTAAAGGTCCAGTTCCCAATGAGAAATGTAATTGTGTTGTATACCTACAATGTACCAATAAAAGAATTTAATATTTAAAAGAGAAAAGGAGGAGAGGTTTATTATTTTGGGTTATAGTTTCAGTGGTTTAGTCCATGATTGGCTGGCTTAAGGTAGAAACAGCATGGTGAAAAGGCTTAGTAGAGAAACACTGCTCATGCCATGGGAGCCAGGAAGCAGAGAGCAAAGAAAAGACCTAAGAACAAGAACAAAGCCTTCCAGGCCATGCCTCAGTGACCTGCCTCCTCTGGACATGAGACTTTTGGGGGATAATTAATTAATTAATTAATTTGGGGAGCATTTTAGATCCATACTGTAACAGTAGGAAAGTGGAAGCTTTTTTTGCAGGACTCATAGTAAACAGGACCAGGAGGAGACCTTCACTAGAACTCTACCTTCCCTACATATCCTTTGTTCCCAGTTCAACCATGAAGGCCACCAAGGACTTGGAGAGCCTTATTTTTTCTTATTTACATATAGCTTTTCCGACTCTGTCCACAGCCTGGCCTCTTTACCTCTGCTTACCTTGGATAGGCAGAAGCCTAGGCTAGGGAGGGAGGGCGTCTCCTGTGTCTACCTTGGCCTTTCACACTTGCCACCCACTGGCTCTACTTCTCAGACCCTCAACCTGCAGTATTTCAGGCTTTTGCCCATGATGCACTTACTGTTGTTCTACTCTTGAGGGAAACTCGCATATTTTGCTTTAAATCTAAGGTGGCATGGCATCACAATATGCCAATGTCCTGATGGGCTTTTACACATGCTTAGGACTACATTACTTAAGTGACCAGGAAGGGTATTAAAACAATCCTACTGCTTTACAGTCCAGCCTTGCCCACTTCTTTCAGAACGCCTGAGTTGTTGTGAGACAGCTGGCAGAGGCCGCCTCCTGGGGAGCATGTGAAGACGCAGTGACTCAAACTGCCCTTGGAGAAAGGTGTATGGTCTGCAGAACCTTTTGGGGTGAACACAGGCTCAGTCCCTCCTGCCTGTGCCTGAGGCTGAGGGAGAATCCCTGCAGAGTGATAGGGCTGCCATGGACGGTGGCGGAGAGCTTCCTGTTGCTTAAGATCCCAAGTGGGAGTTTAGCCTAAAAGGTCAACATTCAGTAAAACGCAGCTGACCATGTAAATGGACTTGCACAGAGAATGATTACAGGACAGTGTGACAATGAGGAGTTGCAACTTGGTGACTGGACGCTACGTCAGGACATCACAGTGCTGGTATAAAACATAAATCATGGGATACTGATAAATCTGAAATGGTTTACATGAACATTAACTTGAATAATATATTCATATTTTTAGCTCCCACTGTGTGCTAGGCCTCTATAAAGACTCTGTCTGGTTCTTAGACCCACAATGCAGGGCAGAAATGATTCTGTCACAGCACAGACAAAGCAGAAGGCCTCAGAACAGGTGCCATTCCTGGTGCCACCAAGCTAAGAAGGCAGGGGAGATCTGACCCCAGGTCTTGCTGGCTCCTCACACTCTGCCACGCCTGAGGTAAATCATGGGGAATTATTGAATAAGCGCCCCCAAGAAGTGAAGGTCAAAAGACAGGAAGTGGTAAAAAGCAAGGGCAGAGAAGGAAGCTCTCTACTGCTTTCATCTGGGACCCCACATGGCCTGGATGCATGCAGTCCCCCACACGCATGCTGCACCAGGCCTCACTCAGGCACCTGCACTGCAGCCAGCTTGGGATGGGACACTCAAGCCCCACAATGACCAAACAAAAGTTGCTTTGAATTGACCATATTATCACTTTATGAACTGAGGTTGGAGGCCAGTGAGTGACACAGGAGTTCTGGTAGCCTCTTGACCCTTCTAAGAACCCTAAAACTGAAGTTATGTCTTAAAGTCTTACTGACCCCAAATGACCACTTCCACCTAGAGACTGGAGAATCTGTGATCTTTACTGACCTTTTCTTCAAAGAATTTCTTCCGTAGCTTGGCATCAGTGGGAGGTATAGCTTTTCTCAGGCCTTGGTACCACTTTCTAACAATGTATCCTCTCCAGCAGGCTTGGATTCTAAAATAGACAGTTGAAAGTGACTACCTCATGATGGCTCTATTTTAACAGACATTTCAAGGCTTCCACAAGCCCTGTGCTGCCAGGCCCTGGGGAGACAACAGGGCCCACTGAGCCCGGTCATCTCCCTCCCTGGGAGCCAGGCCAGCCAGGCTGGCTCACCCACCTGGCGGCACACTTGGCTCTGAACAGGCGGGCTCCATCATGGATCACCCGGGTTTGATACTGGTTCCTTCTACAGAGAGGACAGGTTTTCTTATTTGTGAACTTTTCAAAAGCCTGAAGGCATGCCTGAAGAAAAAGATTTCACTTAGAATTTTATGAGTAATTACTTATAAACAACATTTTTACTTCTAATGTAATTATCGTGCTCTTTTCTCTCATAATTATGAGACTTAGTCCAATTTGGATTATGAAGTGAAGGAGTTTCATCAGATGTTAACACCTTCTTCGTGAAACCCGTTCCAAAAATGATTTTTTACAAGAATATACATGCAGGGACATCAAAAACTTCTGAGCTGAACTGGTGTGGAGGGAGGGCGCGCGTGTGCACGCTGCCTACAGATGCAACAGGAATTAAGTGAGCGGCGCTTTGATGTGCATTACTAACAACAGTCCGCTAGACAAACAGCTGGGCTGCCTTTGTCACCTGAAATTCATGATTTTCAAAACAGGATGAGCGTGCCTGTAGCCTACAGTCCTATTTCTAACTATGCATGGTGATTAGGGTTGAACTGAATGGCCCTCCTGGTGGAGACTTTAAGATGAGTGGGCCTGGGCCCTAGTGGGGTGATGTGGGCTAGCAACTCACCCTGTGGAACACGTGGGAGCAAGACAGCAGCACCTGCGGGAGACAGAGGGTCCGGTCAGGGGCACCTGCCAGCAGGGCCTGCTGCGTGCTGGGAAGGAAGCTGTGCTGTTGCTTTGAAACATTAAAGAAACAGACGGATTGCTTTGATGTTTACACCATGTTTTGTTTCAGTTTAGTACAGCATGAGTGTGTCAGCTCAACAGTGAAGTAACACCACCAACCCACAGCCCAAATAAATACAGCAAGTGTGAGACTGAGTTGTTAAAAGGGGAGGCTGTGATGGAATAGGTGTACTTCCAGGTAGGCGGGAGCAGGTAGGGAAGGGGAAGGGCTGGTCCACAGGGGCTGTGGGAGAAGCAGTAGAGAAATATGGAGTGAATATCCTTTTCAGGGCTTTGTTCATTTCAAAGCCTGCCCCCGCCCCACTTTGGGTGGTACTGGGGATTGAACTCAGGGATGTTCTATTATTAAGCTATATCCTAATCCTTTTAATTTTTTAAATTTTGAGACAGGGTATTGTTAAGTTGCCCAGGCTGGCCTTGAACTTGTGATCCTCCTGCCTCAGCCTTCAGAGTTGCTGGGATAACAGGAGTGTGCCACCATGCCAAGCCAACCATTGTCTTTTTTTTTTTTTGGTACTGGGGATCGAACTCGGGACCTTGCCCTTATGAGGCAGGTGGCGGAACCTCTGAGCTAAATCCCTAGCCCGCCAACTATTGTTTTTAACTAAGGGAAGATCTAACTTGGAAAAAATAAATAGAAATGAAAAAAATGGAAAAGTGTTAATATCTACAAGCAAACAACAATAGAATCTAATGAGAAACAGAAAAAACAGAATGGAAGAAATGTCATGCAAGATGAACCCTGACACCCCATAAGACAGTCAAGCTTTCATTCTTCATGCAAATAATCAGGTTGATGTTTATGGGGTAATTAAGAGGTTGCTGAGGCCAGGAAGATTCCCTGTGGCTTTATTAACTCTGTTGTTACACTAAGGCACTAAATTATAAACTATCTTAGGTGGCAATTCTGTGGTTCGAGGGTACAGTCTTTCCAAAGCACCTAACCCTCACATAGGCAAGATTAGGTTCTACAGAGAACTGAAAGATAATAAGCATGTTCCAAATCACCTGTAAATTTACATTAGTAACAAACAGGTCTAATGATAATGAAACTTCTTGAAAAAAATTAAATTTGAGAGGTTCAGGCCAAGGTGTCAGTAAAGCCCAGGGTCCTTAGGCTGGATCTAACTATGTTTGCTGTGTTTCTCAGCTGGTCTCTCAATGCACAGTTCAGGGAGCATCATGCTACACACTGAAGAAAACGGTCATGAGGCAACCGTTAACACCAAGAAAATGTGAGGACATGGTGTCTCTCACTCCCCAGAGATGACAGTTTAGTCAGGTGGAGGATGCACAGAAGCAGACCCTGGCCGTAGGTCACATTTTGTCTATGAAACCAGCATCACTGATCTACTACTGTAGTTTCACAAATAAAGTTGAAAAGACCTAAGAATTCTGTCACAAAATCTTTCAGATATTCAAACATTGTTTTTCTTCTCTTTTATGATGAAATTCATAAAACCCCTTTTGTGTTCGTTCACCCTTCATGCGCTGGGCCTCAGATGCTTCACTACATCCTCTGGCTGCGGTCTTGAGGCACCAGAACCGACTGCTGGACCAGGGTGTCTGGCTCCTTCACATGCACACTCTCACGGGTGAAGATCAACATGTAAGGATGAGGGGGTGACTTGGGGGGACTACACCGGGAAAGCAGAGGCCTGGTGTCCTCAGCTCTGCCCAGCCCTGCATCTTCACACAAACCCGCGACCCAAGCCCTCTGCATGCTCAGCACCTGTGGGTGGAGCTTGAAGTCTTCTTTGCATATGGGGCACGGCAGCTCGGAGTCACCATGCAGGACGGACCTCTGCTTCACTCTCTCCCACTCAGCTGGTGACAGTGGTGGTGGGGGAGGTGCAAAGAGGCCCAGCTTCTGTGCTGCAGAGCAGACAGCAGTGTGAGTGGAATTGGGACTCATCTGTGATGTTAACAGCACTATCTGCTACCAAGTATTCAAGGGGCACATTTATAGCTCCTATAATGCTTTGTAAAATATAGAATGCTATTTTCCTACAGAGACATGGAAGTCGGCGGTAATACTTTACATTTCAATAATAATTTATGGATTTATTTACAAATACCCCCATATCTCATTTAACATTCACAAAAATTCTGTAAGGCAAGCAGAACTGATACTCAATACAGAAGGAAAAACTCAATACTAAGTTTTCAAAAATTTCCTCATTGTTTCTCGCATGATTTAACTATCAGCCTTCAGCACTTCCTTCTTCTACTTTATCTTGCTTCTGCCACCCGTGACCCTTATGAAGTGCACAGTAATCATCTGTCTTCCCTGCCACAAAATCCCTTTGATGTGACACTTCTATCAGGATAAATTTCTCAGTTCAGCAGTATCTGAGTCTAGGAAGTAGGCAAAAAAACCCCCAACAACAACCCAAAAAACAAAAAACAAAAAACACCAGAAGATAGGATGTGAGGGGATCAACCTGGGCATTTGGACATATGAAACATAGACTTTGCAGAAAGTAAGCAGAGCTGGGGACAGCGGCACACACCGGTAATCCCAGTACTCTGGGAGACTGAGTCAGGGAGATCAAAAGGCAGGCCGAATCTGGGCAATTCAACAAGACCTTGTCTCAAAATAAAACAAAGGGCTGGGGATGTAGCTCAGCGTAAAAGTCCTGAATTTAACCCCCAGTTACCACCACCCCACCCCCACACACTCACAGTAAACAGAAAATGGAGAGTGAAATTTGAAGAAAATAAGCCAAAGGTTACTTTACCATAGTAACATGGAATGGAGATGGCAGGGTGCAGAGATTACAGGGTGGGGGAGATGTTTCCAGATGGAGGAAAAAGAAGTGGAGGTAGGAACCCGAGAGGCGGTGAGGTGCGTCAAGGTGCAAGATCTGGCTAGAGTGACAGTGGACATCAGCCCTCGAAAGGCCAGGCCTCCCTAGGACTTGCCGCAGACTCCACTTCTAGCACCTGTTCTTCCTGTCACCTAAACTGAGCCTTGTCTGTAATTGTCCAACCGAGATGTGAGAACCAGAGGAAGCACAGAGACATGACCATGCTGAGTGGAGACTGCTGTGCTCTCCAACCGCCATCAGTCCTGGCAGCACACCCAGCACCTAGTTCCGGGACCACACGCTCCAGTGAGGGCATGTGGCTCCACGGTGAAATGCTGATTCCAGGGCTGGGACAGGGAACAGAGCACATGCATGCCTGGGATCTTGTCATGGAATAAAAAGGAAGTGCGCAAAAATAAAAAATAGGGACTAACCTGAAAGAGCCAATGGCCAAAGATGTACCGATCACAAGAAGAAAGTAATAGTGACGGTGCTGGATATAAGCCAAAGCATGAAGTCAGTGCACACAGATCTTACTGGTACAAATGACTGGATAAATGAATCAATGGGGAGAGGAGACATTTGTCATAGGGAAGAATTCCTTATAAAACAGTGATGCCTCAATTGTTGAACTCAATTTGTTCCAAATTCATAAGCAAATACTGAAAAGTTTGAGAACGAAACATGTTTTTCCCATAAGAAAGAATGGAAAACCAAATAATTAGTTCTGAGCCTCCAAAATTACACTTATAAATTCATTTTTCCAAGACTTTAACAAATTTCTCAATGATTTCTTTAACTCTATCATGGTTCTCAGTTTTCCTCTTAGCTTCACTGCTGGTATCACTAACTTTCTTTGGAGCCCTGGTTAAGATATTTTATGCAAATAAAGCACACACAAGATAGAGCACAATGAGGAATGTTTTAATGCACTAACACAAGAACTATATGTTGCCTGAGTGAGAGCGGCACTTAGGTTGAAGTGTCACCTCTTTGTGCCTGTGGTGAGATGTAATGTGTGACTCACTCTTGGCCCATACACGTTTTTTCAAGACAGACTTTTGGTTTGACTATTAAGCAAAGTTATGAAGACCAAGCAGATTTTTTTCGAACTTGCTGTTCAAGTAGTGGAAAGTTCAAGTTGGGAACCATTCAACAACAAAGTTATCACTGTACGTAGACATTTTCTCTTCTAAGAGTGAGCTTGATGCCTTCTCTGCTGCTCATCTTGTGGGCTGGATGTAAAGAACTGCTCCCCAGGAAGAGGTGGAAAGGAGAAAACATGGCTTTGCAGGTGCCCACTAGCCAGGGATCATGGTCAGTGTCAGCAGGGAGAGGTCATCATGCACCTGACAGAACCTGAGAGGAACCCCAGCCTCACCATGAGAGAAACATCAGACAACCCACAATGAGGGGCATTCCACAGACTACCTGGCCAGGTGTCCATGGCCCAGGTCACGAGAAACTGTCACCATGTCACCTGGGCTGGATCCTGGTGCATGACAGGCACCATGAGAAAGGTAGCTAACCCCAGTCTAGACTGTAGTCAACAGGAAAGGAAGGGAAGTGTAAAATAGATAAAGTAAAATGTCAGCCCCAGGGAAGTCTGGACCACTTTTGCATCTCTTCTGTAAATCTAAAATTATTTTAAAATAAACAGTGTATTTTAAAATAGCAACAACAAAAGCAGAACTTTATTTATTTATTTTTTTTGGTACCGGGGATCGAACTTGGGTCCTTGTGCTTGCACAGCAGGCAGCAAAACCACTGAGCTAAATCCCTGGCCCCAAAAGCAGATCTTTAAAGCCAAGTCCCAAACAATAACTGTACCTGAAAACTAAAATAGGTACAAGTTGAGTACCCTTATCCAAAATGTCTGGGATCAGAAGCATTTTAGGTTTTTTTAATTAATTAATTTATTTTTTATTTTGTAGTATTTGCATAGACTTTATCAGCACAGACTTTCGCTATTCTGGAAATCCAAAATCTAAAATCCTATCATGTTTGTACCCAAAATGTTTTGGATTTTGGGCTTTTGGATTATGGATGTGCAACCCATGTGACTCAATCACTGAAGCTTAAAAAAAAAACCAAAAAGAAAGTGAAGAGGTATGGTCCACAAGCTGAGAGGTCAGAAGAGTGCAGTGTGCCAGTGTGAGCTAGCACTAAATGACAGTTTGGGAGAAACACATTACTTGAACTGTGAGTGCCAGGAATCAATGTCTGGAAGCAAACAGGCTAAGTGTTTAACTGAAAAAAACAGGAAAAAGAAATATTAAAGAACAAAAGGAAATGAGGAGGAGGAAGAAGAGGGCAGAAATGCAAAGAAAGGAGAAGCCAAAAAAGAAACCAAAGTCAAAATCAATACTAGGTATGAACCCAAATTAGTTTTTCTCAAAAGAAACATTTCTGACAAAACTGCATAAGCTAAAAAGAAAGGAAAATTCAGACAAAAAGTAAATTAAAAAGAAAGGAGGTTGGGGATGTAGATCAGTGGTAGAGTACTTGCCTGGCATGCGCAGGCCCTGGTTTCCATTCCCAGCAGAGAAAAAAAACTTTAAAAAAGAAGAGAAATAATCATACATAATTTAAAAATAATCATAAAGTAAAATTGGTACCTATATTCCAAAATACACCTGGAAATCTAGATAAGATTAATGCTTCTTGGAAAATGTACTAATATTAAAACTGTCACAAGAAAAAACAGAAAACTCGAGTCAACCCCCAGCCTTGGCAGGACTAGAGCTCCTCTCGGTCCTGTGACAGAACCACCAGGCTGGGCAGAACAGGCTCCACTTGGTAAATCATGACCTCTGCAGGTCACAGCAACCTGTTCTCCTCTGCCATCCGTCAACTAGCCTGTGACCTATTTCAGGTGAAGTGAATCCTATTTTTCCAACCTGCCCTTGCTGGTTTCATATGGGGCCCCCTAGACAGTGGTGCTGTGGAGGGAGGCTGTTCCTGGCAAACGTGGCTGACAACACATATTACTGAGGTTTGTGTCACTGTAGGGTGGTCATGCTGTACTTGCAGCCAAATGCATCTTAACTGACTACCACCAAGAAAAGGGAAAAAAGATTCAAGCCAGATAATTTTACAAGTGAGTTGAGTGAGTTATCCTGAACTTTTAAGAAACATATCCTTGTTTGAGAAGTTATCCTGGAATATATAGTCAGAAAGCATGGTGACAGCCACTTTATATCTACACAGTGTGGTGACAGCCACTTTGTGTATGGATAGTTCTACCAACGCTTCATCTCAGAAGTGAAAGCATACTTGGAAGAGGAAGGGTTAGAATTTAAAGACTTATTAATAACAGACCATGCACCTGACCATCCTGAATCTGTTCGCTATGAAAATGTCAAAGCTGTGTTTTCATCTTCACATACACCTCACTGCCTTGGCCTCCTGATGAGGGCAGCATCTGGTGTGTCATGGCCACACATACCTGCCTGGTATGTGATCACATTCGATCAGCAATCAACATGGACCACAACCTGGAACACTGCAGTACTAGAAGTCACTAACTAGTGCTGACATAGTGACGTCTGTTGAAGCTGCATTGGGTGAGTTAAAAACCAGAAACTACTGGAAGAATTTAGGAGTGAAGTGGTTAATGGTTTTAAGGGCTTCTTGGGGATCTGCTAAGACATTAAGAAAACCCTTCATGCAGCAAGACAAGTTAAGGAGAAGGATTTGCCAACATGGGTGAAGTGGAAGAGCATATGAAAGGCCATGGAGAAATGTTAACAATGAGGATCTGGAAGAACTTGAGTCACCTACTGGAGAGGAAGATGGAATGTGGACATTTCCAAAATTTGCCAAAGCGATTCAAACTGTACAGACATTAAAGGACAGCATGATGCTTGCATAGACTGCATCATGAAAATCACCCACAGGATCACCAAAGGATACCAATTTTGGCAGCAACAGTTTGAGGAGTTAAAAGACTCAACAACTTCCTATTACGTTGTTATCCCAAAAAGTTTTGGCAAAAAACCATTTTAACTATCAGAGCTCCCCAACCACCAACACTGTCTGCTCCTGACATCCAACTATTGACCTCCTTGTTATAGCTCGATGATCTGGGGTCACCCAAAGCCGATGACCCTCCCTCTGACATATCAGGGGAAGGTCACCAGTACCTGTGCCCCTCATGTCCATACACAGGCTCCATATCCTCCCTCATCATTGCAGGAAGAGGGATGAGTGTGGTTCAATAAGGTTGGAGAGAGACCACATTTGCACAGCTTCTGTCATAGCACATTGCTGTAGCTGTCCTATTTTATTATTAGTTATTCTTGTTAATTTCTTGCAGGGTCTGATTTATAAACTAAACTTTATGATAGGGATATATGTCTAGGAAAACAGTGTATATAGATCTGAGTGAATAGAATATATAGTGTAACTGTGTATACACAGTGTATACACAGTGTATAGTGTATCTGTGGTTTCAGGCATCCACTGGGAATCCTGGGGCATACACCCCATGGATAGGGTGGACTACCATAACCTTTGAACCTTATTCAAATTGCATTCTTTGTCTCACTGATGATTTTCTTTTCTAAATTAAGACTGGGTCTAAGATTACACATTACATTTAGTTTTCATATACCCTTGGCTTCCTATAATCAGGGAGTTTCTAGGTCTTTGCTTTTCCTGAGACTTTTGAAGACTGCTACCAGGGAATAGTGTAGAATGCCTCTCAATTTGAGTTTGTCTGATCTTCCTCATGATTAAGTTCAGCTCTGTATTTCTGGCAAGAACGCCACAGAAGTGGCATTACACCTTTTACCCAGGGGCACTCTTTGTCAGCATGTGTCACCACTGGTGAAGCCACTAATTGTCTGGTTAGGGTGCTACGTGCCCAGGGTTACCACGGTGTGACTACTTTTCCTTTTGTAGTGGACACTGGTGTGGGGAGTCACTGTGAGCCTGTGTGTGCACAGCCTGATCCAGCCTGACTTTCCCACTAGATTCTCATCCACTGATGATCACTGTGCTGCTTGCCTGTCTGTAGTTAGTTGTCATTCTACTATAAGAGTTTTTCTTCTCCATCATTTATTTATTCTTATTTTCAGTGTGTGTGTGTGTGTGTGTGTGTGTGTGCGTGTGTGTGTGTGTGTGTGTGTGTTTGTAGTGGGGATTGAACTCAGGGCCTTTTCACTGAGTTAAAGCCCTTCCTAAAAATTTTTTTGAGAAAGAGTTCACTAAGTCACTAAATTGCCTCAGCTGGGCTCCATCTTGTAATCTCCCTGCCTCAGCCTCCCAGAGTGCTGGGATTATAGAAGGACACCACCACGTATCTTTATTTTCTTGCTCAAATTGTCTCTATCATTTTTCAGTTTGAGCACGTGCATATCTCTGTGTATAAGCAAATTAGTTCTGTACCACAAACACTGTACCATTAAACTCAACAGATTCATTAATGCTAATAAGCCAACATCTTCATGGCTAGATTAGCTCACCTAAAGTTAATGGTGGTGGTGTGGGATCAAGGACATATTCCTTTTCTGGATCTTCTACTTTGGAGTCCTTTGGAGTTTTTTTAAGTCCAGTATCTATCAGTGCTTTTGCATCTCTTTTTAGAGACTCTGATCTGTTCTCTTTCTTTTGTACCTTTGTCTTAGGATGACCAGCTACTGAAAGATTCCCAAGATGAAGATCATGTAAAATGTGATCTTGTAAAGCAACTGCAGTGACTGCTAAGTTATCTTTTTGTGATGAATGGTCCTAAAAAGTAGGAAAAGAAGTCTTGGTTACAGGAACATTAAGCAATATATTATTTAGAAGAAAACGGGCTTTAGTAGCAGAACTTGATGGTCCATTTGACCAAACTGCATGCTAAAGAAAGTCCCAGCCACTGTTGCTTAAACCAGCGCAAACCCCAGGCTCATCATTTATGGTAACAACAGAGGAGTATCTTTGCGTTTAATTACTAAAGCCTTAATTATAATATAAATAAAAACATTATGACTTATAAACCTGTGCATGCCTAAACAAATCCATACTGTTTCACTATAATTAAATTAGACTCCAGGCAAATATTAAAGAGAATCTTACACCTAAGTTTGTACTTTTTGTGAAAATGTAACACCTTTCCTAAATAAAAGTCATCATCCAGGCACGAGGTGCTTGAAGGCAGTGCTGGGGTGGGGGTGGCTCTTCCTCGTCTACTTCCCACTGCCCAGGACCACACATGTGGTGTCCGCTCCTAGGGTTACACACTAGTTTATACTCTCAAGAGTGTGAATCAAAATATATTCCATGAGTAAAACCAAGAAGGAGGGTGTACCTTGTTTCTTAACATGCTGAATCAGGAAGAGCTGTGGTGTGGGTTGTGAGGAATTCTATCACCACATCACACACATTTCTTTCAATCTTCCACTGTAAAAACACAGACAACAGAAAGAGCGTGCATAACAATCTTTTATGAAGTTTATGAGGAATATTTGTATTAAGGGTCCGACTGATAATGAAGTCAAGGCCAGTGCCTACTCCAGGGCAGCCCTGAGCTCACATCTGGATTCTGCAGGAAGGAGAGGACCTGAAACCAGTTATTACCTGACTCAGCCCTGCCCCTTAACACTTCACCGAAGTTGGAGGGAATACTTTAAATGAGAACAATTTATCAGCAAATATAACAGTATACATAAGTACAACAAAATTTCAGACCAAAATAGGACCAAAAAAGAACTGAGACTAGTTAATGAAAAACTTCCTAAAGATAACATCTAAGCTGAGATTTGAAAAATAGAGGGAAATGCACAGGTAGTAGTTTAGGGGCAAGGAATGCAGAGCACTGAGGAGAGCAGCATGATATTTTTATCCCAGGGAGAAAGAAACCATGAAGAAAGTGGAAGAGGAATGGTGGATAACGTTTCTGTCTCCAAAGCAGTTGTACAGCACAGGGTCGGGCAACTTTGCTCCACCACTTTTAGAGGCAAGATACTTAGCATACGTGCATCTGTTTCCTCACCTAGAAAATAAGCATTATAAATACCGACTTTGCAGGGTTATTATACAAATTGAATAAAAACAACCTTGTAAATTAAAAGGAAAGTTTTCACACATTAGATATTCTGTAAACAATGATTCTTGCCCCAGTTCTTTTCAAAGCTGGTGAAAAAATTTGGAATTTGCCTTTTTGATTTTTGGACAAGGATGTATTTTATGAAGGGGAAGGTCCAAAGTGTATTAGAATGGAGAAAAACAAAGTTATTCAAGTAATCTAGGATATAGTATTGAGGGCCTAACTTTTAGAACTGGATACAAAAAGCAGGTACAGTAGAGCACACTTGAAATCCCAGTTACTCTAGAAGCTGAGGCAGGATGATCGAAAGTTTCAGCCCAAGATAGACAAATTTAGGAAGACCCTAAAAAGGGCTGGGGATGTAGCACAGTGGTACAGCACCTGCCTAGCATGCCTGAAGCCATGGACTCAATCTTCAGTAGCACAGAAATGAATAACAAACACATAAAAATTGGATGCTTGGCATGGTGGCACATGCCTGTAATCCAAGCATTCTGGGAAGCTGAGGCAGGCAGCTTGCAAATTTAAGCCCAGTCTGGGCAAATTAGTAAGACCCTGTCTCAAAAAATAAAAAGGGTAAGGGAGTTGCTTGGTACAAAAGTCCTAGGTTCAATTCCCAGTAACACACACACACACACACAAAGGGCTTTAGCTGGGTAGTGGCACACACCTGTAATCCCAGTTACTTAGAAAGCTGAGGCAGGAGGACTGCAAGTTCGAAGCCAGCCTGGGCAATTTAGTGAGACCTTGTCTCAAATAACAAAGATAAAAAGGGGCTGGGGAAGCTCAGTGCTCCCTGTGCTCAACCCTTACACTCAGTACAGGAGATGATGGTGGACAGAAAGGAATCAGGGGCTGAGGATGTGGCTCCATGGCAAAGTGCTTGCCTTGCATGTGCAAGGCTGTGGGAGTGATCCCCAGCAGTGGGACAAACATCTGTCCTGAATTATCCAATAAAGAAACTCAGTGAAGAGTGTAGGAAGAGAAGTAAGTGCACTAAAGCACATGTATGAAATACCCTGGGTTTGGAATAAAAAAGGCTCAGTGCTGCTCGAATCCTTTAGAAGCAAGGGCAGTTTACTGTACTCCTTTCCTTGTTCCCTTCTAATTGTGTCATCAAGAGATGTACGGTTCTATACAACATTCTGCCCAAACAAAAAACATTCTGCCAAAGCAGTCTATATCGGGGAAATAGTAAATATAATTAAAATACTGAAATATTCCCATTATTTTCTACATTCAAAATGCCCATGGCTGGGAATTTAGCTCAGTGGTTCCACCGCCTGCCTCGGTATCAAAAAACCTCCCCCAAAACAACAAAATGCCCACAACTCGGTAGTTTGCATTATACTAAAGACTTTAATTTTAGTAACATTCATAATTATTAATCAGCCCACTACAGTCTACGATTTTATGTTATTTCTATATTGTGAGCTGTCAAGGTAAGTTTTTAAAGACTGACCCTTTTAAATCCTGTAACTCCATTAAATTTTGGAATTTAGCTGTCGCAAACTTCAAATATCGAGTCCAACTCCGATTTATAAACGAGACATACACGGAGACCGAGTGGCTCTTCAGAGAGCTCAGGGTGCAGCAGCGGGAGGGCAGAACCCCAGCCTGGCTCAGCGTCGTCGAGGGCCTCGCTGCACAGGCACACAGGGCTCCGGAAGTCTCAGCATCACCCAGAAGACGGGGCTTGGTCGCAAACAAGATCGCTGTGGTGCCTGGGTGCTTAGTGACCACCGTGTGTAAGTGGCGATAAACTAACAAACGTACTAAATTAAAAAACTGAAATGGGCATAACCCGTCATTGTTAAAGACAGTCGCACACCTAATTTCTCAACCCTTGCAAGTCCCCGGTCTGTGACACCCACCCGCTGACCAGGAGGACGGCGGCTCCGAGCAGCGCTGACCGGGATCCACGGCTCGCACCCGGTGCCCGGCTCTGCCTCCGCCCCGCTCGAAAACACCACAACGCCAGGGAATCAACAACGGGAAAGCAACGCCGGTGCTCCACCGGGTCCGCCGGCGGTTGTCTTGGCAACCCACCGCCTCGGCGCGCACCGTCAGTGCGCATGCTCGAAGGCTTCGCCCCACCCCTCGCACTGCACCCGCGTTCCTGTCGCTGTCGGCGCACTCCTCAGCACGCCTGGTCGCCGGCCCCGCCCCGCCCCGCCCCGCCCCGCCCCGCCCAGCGAGCCGCGCGGCCGTTCCGAACGCCAGCTGAGCGCGCATGCTCTTCGTCCCGCTGCGCTCCGCCCAGAGCGCGGCGCGGACGTCCCAGACGCCTCTTGCGTCACGGCGTCCCCGCGCACACTGCGGGCTTGGCCCGCGTCCCGGCGCCTGCGAATTCTCGCGGGCTGCGGACAGTTGGTGGCCGGTAAGGAGCGCGGGGCTGGTGACGGGCGGTCTGCGTCGCACCGTGTCCTTAGCTCTCCAAGCCGACCGACCGTGGGATTCCTGGTGGTTCTGCCCTTCTTGCGTGTGGGAGGTTTCCGGCTCAGTGTCGTGGGCCTCCCTCGCCGTTCTGTGGAGCACTCGCTGTCGGCGACTTCCTGTGTTGCACGGTAGCTCGGATGAGCCTCCAGTGTCCGGGGCGCGCCTTGGGCCCGCTGAGGAGCCTGCGGCGCATTCGCGGTTTTCTCCGTCATGTATGCTCCTTCACTGGCCACGCATCTGCCGTCCTCAGCACACCACCCCTGGACCTTCCAGCCTTGGATGCGCTTCTCTTCCTGCCCCACACCTTTTCTGCCAGGAACTTAAGTTGCGCATGAGACCTTGTGAATTTTTATTTTGCTGGGTGCTGCCTTTTTATGTTTTTGTTTTTTAAAAACAAACTTTTAATGTTTTTATGTTTTTTAGAAAAGGTTTTTGAGTTTCGTGCAGGACATTGGAATTACTTGAAGTGGCATCCTTTCCCAGGCTGGCCGTCCAACTAACTGCTCTGTCCCCAGAGCCAGACAGAGCCACGTACGTGGTACGCATCCAGTACCAGTTTCTACCACCCCCTGTGCCTCCTTGCCTTGCCACTCCCTCTGGCCTCTACACCATGCCTGCTGAGCTGTTCCAAGAATGCTTTTCCTCTCCACTTTCTGCCTGGCCTGAAATTCTCCATTGCTCCTCTGCTCAGTCGCCTTTGGCCTGTTGGTTGTGATGGGGAATTTCTGGCTTGCCTTCTCTTCTCCGTTGACTGTGGTTCTGCCCTACTTCCATAGCTGAAAACTATGGGTTTACTTATTCTGTTCTATTTTTGAGTTGTTAGAATCTGATCTCATGGTGGTCAGAGGCGGAAGTCGGGATTTTTTTTGCCTGTTTTTAAAGGATGGTGACTTTATTTTGTTAAACTTATGCCATAATTGAAATAAAATTTGAATGGAAGTACAAGGAAAACATACAAATGCAAGTTGTCTTTTTCTTTTTTTCTTCCTTGAAAGGAACGTCTACTCAAGTTACCAACCTAGAATGGAACTTGGTCACTGATCATTAACTGAAACATTGGTATAAATTAGGAACACTATATGAAGTAAAGTTTTTTATTAGTACATGTTGTAATACATAGTGAATACATTCATCTGGAGAGTTTTGTATAGGTACATATCTCATTTTAATCCGTTTTACCCCTCTCCTCATCTCTAGAACCCCTTACCATTTGCAAAAGGTCTATTTTCCCTGTTTCGTGTTGTTTACTTTGGCTTTCTCAAATAAGAGAAACCATGTGATATTTAAGGTGTGTAATTTATTTCAGTAAGTATTATGATCTCAAAAGTCCATTTTCCTACAGATGATTCAAATTTATTATCATTCTTGACTGAGTAGTACTGTATTGTGTGTGTATATATATATATATACACACACACACACACCACAATTTATCTGTTCATCCAATGATGGACATATAGGCCACTTCCAAGATTTAGCCATTATGAGTTGTGCTGGTGTAAACATGGGTATACATGTATCACGATAATAATGACATCTTTAGCTCTTTTGGGAGGATATCTGAAGGGGAATAGCCAGGTCACATGAACTTTGTATTTTTAGGGGTTTTTTTTGAGAAATCTATATTGATTTCCATAGTGATTGTATCAATTTACACTTCCACCAGCAGTGTAGAAGGGTTCTTTTCTCTGCAGTCTTCCAGCAATTTTTTTTTTTTTTGAGTTATTGATGATAGCCATTCTCTCTGGAGTAAAATGAAATCTCAGTGTTGTTTTAATTTGCATGTCTCTACTGATCAAAGATATTGAATATCTTTTCATGTATTTATTGGCCATTTGTATTTCTTCTGAGAAGTGTTTATTCATTTCAGGTGCCCATTTTTTTGATTGGGCCTTTTATTTTGTGGGAGGGTCTTTTTTGAATTTTTTATATATTCTAGATATTAGTCCTCTGTCCTAAGGCTGGCTGGCAAAAATATATTCTGTAGGTTGTCTCTTCAATCTATTGGTGTTTCCTTTGCTATGAAGATTTTTAATTTGATATAATCAAATTTGTTGATTCTTTATGTTATTTCTTGTGCAATTGGGGTTCTGTTCAGGAAGTCTTCACCTACACCAGTGATAATGAACCTTTTTTAGAGCTTTCAGTGATAACAGCAGGCTGCTGTACATGTGCCATATGTTCATCACCTCTGACCTATATCTATGTCTTCAAGAGTTTTACCTATTGTATCTTAAGTGGCTCTGTTTTAGTCTTTATATTTTTGAACCATTTTGATTTTATTTTCATGTGTGATGAGAGATGGATCTAGACTCAGTCTTCTGCATGTGAATAACCGCTTTCCCCAGCATCATTTGTTGGTTGTCTTTTCTGTAGCGTATGTTTTTGGGTTGTCAGTGATCAGATGTCTGAATGTGTGGGGTTGTTTCTGCATCCTCTCTTCTGTCCCACTAATCCACATGTCTGTTTTTGTGCCAGTGCTATGCTGTTTTTATCACTGTAGCTTTGTGATATAATTTGAAATCTGGGCTTGTGATGCTTCCTGCTTTGGTCTTACTGGCCAGAATTGCTTTGGCCATTCTGAGACTCTTCTCATTCCATATAAATTTTAGTATTATGTTTTTCTAGTTCTGTGAAGAGTGCTGTTGGTATTTTGATTGGGATTGCATTAAGTCTATATCAGTTTTGGTAATGTGGCTATTTTGACAATATTGGCTCTGCCTAAGCAAGAACAAGGATGTCTTCTATTTTCTGGTGTCTTCAGTCTCCTTTTTCAGAGTATTATAATTTTTAATTGTGGAGGTCTTTCATTTCCTTCGTTAAGTAAATAGGTGTTTACTTTTTGGAAGGTATTGTATGGTATTGTTTTCTTTATCAGTGTGTTCATTGTTGGTGAGCAGGAATGCTATTGATTTTCGTATATTAACTTTATGTCCTGATACCTTGCAGAATTTATTAGTTCTAGGAGTCTCTTGGTAGAATTTTTGTGTCTTCAATGTTCAAGTTCATGTCTTATGCAAATAACGATAGTTTGACTTCTTCCTTTCCTATATGTGTTCCTTTGATTTCTTTCTCATGCCTGGACAGTGCTGGCTAAAGTTTTGAGTATAGTAAGTCCCTGACTTATGAATGAGTTCCATTATGGGAGAATTGTTTGTAAGTCAGATTCATTTGTTACCCAGCAAAATGAGTCTTAAACAGTACACCTGTGAAAGTTTGCAACTCAGATGTTAATAAGTTGGGTAGTTATTGTACTGAATTGAACTAGAGTGGTGAGAATTAACAACCTGTTCTTGTTCCTGATTATAGGGGGAAAGCTTTTAGTTTTTCCTCGTTTAGAATGATGTTGGCAGTCAGTTTTACATGTATTGATTTATATATGTTGAACCATCCTTGCATCTTATGGATGAAGTCAACTTGGTCATGATGTATGATCTTTGTTGTATTGTCTTTGCCACTTTGCAGCCTCTTGTTGAAGATTTCTTTTTTCTTTTTCCTTTTTTTTTTTTTT